GTTATATTGATTAATAAGAAATGGAGGTAAAAAGTTGTACAGTTAACAGTGGCACCAAACACAATATAAGTCTTTTTTTCTAAGAGTGCATTCCCATAGAGTTTTAGATCAATCTATCCCCGTGGGGAGTCTCGCTAGATTGTTGTCAGCCTGACCGGCTTAAATGTCTGCCCTGCCTACTAAAAGCTGTTAGGGGGTAATTAACCTTTGTGCGCGCTCGGCTCTCGGAACCTGACAGCAATTTAGCGTGAACCTCCAAGGAGTTACATCGCTCCAGATAGATTGATCTAAATCTATGGGAAACCAGTCTAAGACAGATTGAAATTTTGCATCAATTGGACAAGCAATCATACTGTATAATCAGCCAGGCCAAATGTACTGCTGGTCTGTCCAAATAGGTTTGGTGTCCAACAGCATAAACTTTTTGGAAACAGATTCCTAATTACATGGATTCTGTTGCTCGTATACTCCTAATAGTAAGATATGAGAGGGGCTCCAGGGCCACACAAGGGACAGAATCCTGGAGTATTTGTTGCCACATTCACCAACATAGAAAACCCCAATAACTAAGAATCGGATCCTATCAGAAACCATTTTTTTGGAAACTGTCTTTACCTGCTTTCCAGCCACAGCCCAAACTACTATGGATTGGTTACATGGTCAAATGGTGACTAGAGGGGATCACCCAGCAAAAGCATCTGTTATGTCTCTTTCTCTGATAGATATAGATCTACAGAAAGAACTGTCATGCATCTACCCCACATTGAATTTAATTTATTCACACGTTTAACAGTTTAGAGCAATCCCCAATAATTACCTTTAATCAACCACTGTGGTGGAAGGAAGGACCAGACTACTGTTGAAAGTGAACAAGAATCCAATATACTACCATCTCCAGTTGCAAGGCTTGTTGGCTTCCACACAGAGATGAGCTACCTTTAGTGCATATATCAACTCATGACAGGGTCAAGACTTTGAGAACTTCTTGAAACTATATTTGCTGTCAATACAGTAAGCCACACGATTCCCAGGGAATGCTCTGGCTAGGGCAATGAGGGCCCAGCTATTACTTGATCTATCCCTCATTGCACTTCTCATCTTCATGCTTTTGCGGGATAATGTGCCAGCCACTGTTGTTCAAAACAAGAAGCACAACACAGTGCACAGATGCCATTGAAGGTACATGCATGCATTGTCTGGGTGATTTCCAAATGATGGAGACAGAGCCGACATCAAGATCTCCATTCTTTGGACCATGGTAACATCAGATGTGCGACAGAGTGAATTTTTGACAAAGATAGACCAGCAACTGGCTGTTGAGAAAACCACTTTTAAAAGTCAAAGAACTGCAAGGTTCAGGGTACAATGTATGGACATTTCCTCTTTGCTAGAACAGTCAATATAGTCAGATGGGCTTGAAAGTGAAGGTGAGGTCCAGTACATTTTAGATGGTGTGGTACTTCTTCATCACACACCTTGGACTGTTGGAATGTGTTGCACACAATGGAAATATAGGAGAGCTATAGTGTAGCATTATAAAGGGATCATCTTTGATGTCCCCTCTACTAAGCTATGGTTCTGCACTCCTAGTTTGATCCAATTAACAGTATGAGCACAGCTATCGTCTTCACAGATGAGACGAAGCTGCAGCGTGGAAAAGAAAAAAATTACCAACAAAGAAAACAAACAAGTTCATTTATTTCCTTGGTGAGAAGTTGGAAGGTGTTGGAGTTAAAATAATCCAAGTTCCAGGTGATGCAGACCTCCATATTTCATTTAAATAAAAAAAAAAAGTTTATCTGAAGCGCACATCACATGATCATAATCTTCTGAGCCTTGTCCCAAAGCCATAATTGCTCGCAATGTCATTTTCTTGTTTTTGAAGTGAAACTTAGGTCATCCCTGGTGAAGACAGTTAGGTACTAATTGAATGGTCAGTTATTTTTAACTAAGATTCAAAAGGAATAAGACATTAAACTAAGTGTAGGGACAGGACGGCAATACTTTTTAAGTAGGAAATAATGTTGTTTCCCTCAGGCGAGTTTATTTTGGTACATGAATTGGATAAAGATCTCCTTTTATATCATTTTATTTAAGTCTTTATGTCCTGGCCAATCTAGCACTACAACAGTAAGTAGTAAAAGACCATAAATGTACTTTTGAGCTTATTTTTTATTCAATTTTTTACTTCAAATTTGGTAATTTGTAGCCGCCATTTTAGTTTAGGCGGCCATTTTGTATTTTGTTGAGGCTATCTGCATTTGATTTATTTGGAGAGAAGTGGCACAACATCCCTTTATGCATTTTGTACCATTTTTACAAGCTTTTGTTGAAACCACCTGGAGCAAATTTGCACCTACTGACTGTAGATCTCTGTGCTGGCGGCCATTTTTGATTTTAGCGAAAAAATACCTTTTCCACTACTTGGATTTTTCTAGATTTTTAATATGATCATATGGACCACTCAAAGACTCAAAAAAACCATACTACAATTTTTTTGCAATTAGTCCCGGGTTAAACCATTTTTTTCTTAGACTAAAAATAAATTATATAAATAATGAAAAATTTAAACTTTCAGTTTACTATTCGTTGGCTTCATGTAATAGACAAAGATATAAACAAAAATATGTATTTATGACATTTTATTTAGAATCATACTAAGTACAATAACGTGTTTTCATTTCCCTGTTTAAGCTTTTCTCTACCTGGTACAGGTATATAAGCAATAATGTGCCAAAAAAGAAAAAAACGACGCTGGAATACAGAAATTGCAAGAACTACTGTTTTGTGCACAAGACTGTGAATTGAATGTGTCATTCCTAGATGGAGGAAAATTTTCTTTACGCGACAAAAAGGATTTAAAATAAAAATGAGACTTCTACAGGTGGTAATTTTAGCGTTAAAGGTGGGTTTGTGAAATTGAGCTCATACATTATTGATGTGAAACTAATTTTTGTATAACTGATCGGCTCCAGATCAAGTGTACGTGTATCTCACATGATTTGGGATTTATTTCCCAAAATGGTTGAGTCCAGGCTGGAAATTTCTCTCTTCTGTAATTTCGTGAGAGATTATTAGAGACTTCGCGAGGCTTTATCCCAATGATTCCCACGTGGACGGTCTATCACGCGCCCTGGTAGAGGGTATAGTAAAGCCAGGGTCGATGCCAAATAAAATTGCTTACGAGGTTAGCGGTATACCTGTCCGTTTCCTATACATCTATGTTGCAGAGATATACAGCAACTTAAATTTGACGATGTCATTAGGTAATCACCTAAAAAGACATAAAAACGAACCCTTTTATCAAAATTTTATAAAATGTAAAATCCCAACATGGCGGAACCGTCCGCATGTCAGTAATGGTTTTTGGGACTGTTTACTTGACAAGAAAGAAAAATGTTTCTCTGCCACAGCACTCTAATCCACATTATCTTTTTCATCGTAAATTATTTCTTTCTCAACGTATCTCATGCAAAAATATTTTTTCCCGAATATTCTAACTGCTAAGTCGATCATCCATATCGCTTGTGTTTCAGCTCTCAAGTAGCCGCGGAAAAGATCGTTATATCTCTCTTAATCAACTGAGCTTAACCATAAAATTCTTACATACCTTTCAATGAGTATTTATTGTTTCTAAATCAAGAAGTAACTATCCTCATCTTCTTGTGTGCAGGAAATATCATGCAAAAAATCTCTCACGCGCACACCTAAAAGGCCGCCTGGACACCAAGTCAACTACAAACTGCGGAGATAGCGTGACCGCGTGACCGGAGTAAAGCCTAGGTCCCAACTACGTTTTGGACGCACGGTTTTAAGGTTCCTTGCGTCCGTCTAGGACGCAGCTAGATCGCAGGGAGGGAATCAAGTAAAGCCTAGGTCCCAACCAAACGTACAGGCTGCTACGTGTGGTCTACGGCCAAAAAATGGGGAAAACGCGGGAGTTCGTGCGTGAGGAGCACGNATCAAGTAAAGCCTAGGTCCCAACCAAACGTACAGGCTGCTACGTGTGGTCTACGGCCAAAAAATGGGGAAAACGTGGGAGTTCGTGCGTGAGGAGCACGTCCATCGTGCGACTTTTGGAGGACGCAAACAGCACGTAGAAACTCTTCGACATGATCAACAGCCGCTACGTGCGATCTAGCTACGTCCTAGCCGGACGCAAGTAACCTAAAAACCGTGCGGCGAAAACGTAGTTGGGACCTAGGCTTAAGGATGCTTCTCTATTGTCATCTCCTAGCTATTCATACGAACCAATCAGGGACCAAAGTTTAAGCACCCCGCTGCGCGTTGCCAGTCCTTTCAATATACGTCCTTGGTTTTGCCTACTGTTCACCCTTTCTTTCTTCTTCTTTGTCCCTTTTCCATTCTCCTCCCTGCTCTCTAAGTTTTTTTCTTGCCTTTTGGAGGCAAATTTAAAGCTGAATTAAGCAAAATTCGAATTTTTTGGAAATTGTTGCACAGGTTGCACGCTCTTCGTTAATTTTCGAGACACGACCTTGTGTCGTAAGTACACCTTTTATTCTCCTGGCGTGGGGGCGACGCATGTCTGAGTATTTGATTTTCCAACCATGTGCGATCTTCACAACGTAAACTGGAAATCGGTCAAGAAAACAATATTTTTTCCAGGGGGTAACTTCTTGCAAGTAAGGTAAGTGTATCAATGCAATAATACGTAATATAATCAACATTGCGTAATATTTCATAACATTATATAATAATATAACATTACGTAACATTTTATTATGTAATATTTTGTAATCGATGTTGGTCACGTCATAATTACATAACAGGTCTACCCCCCCCCCCCAGTCCTCCTGCGAAATACTAAGAGTTTGGTGCATAGATACACGGTGTATCAAAAAAAGTTAACACTTAAATTTGAATTTAAAAATTTTATTTCATATAACAAATGTTAATGCAAATATAGGTTCGTAGGGAAGTCATGCTTCAATGCACACCACTTTTTTTGATACACCCTGTATACTTCTCTTAACACTGACCTATGTCACACGTCTGTCCCGTGTATCCAGGTGGACATACACAGCTGTAGGAGTTCACACCATCCTTACACGTAGCCCCGTTTGTACATGGGAGACTGGCGCATTCATCGATGTCTGAATGGGAAATATTGGACAATTTGATTAAATAGGAACGATCTTAGCTATTAGTCAGTTTTGTTTAATTGCTAAATTTCCCCTAAATGCGTTGGATGTCTCGAATAACAATCTTTCTGTCAAAGTCTGTCTGCTTTGCGTCTTATTGATCCAGAGCATCATCGATTTGGTGCACTGTTTCGCTTATATCTTATCATCTGCTACTTGTATGCAAAAATTCACCTTTTTCAACAGTACCATGCTCTTTCATTGTAATGCAAGGACCAGACAAAACAACGTCAGTCTTTGTGTGACTTTCTCCTCAAACAAGGTCTATGTTGCTGTCAAAAAAAAAAAAAAAAAAAAAAAAAAAAGGAACCGAGATAACGATCATTTAAACCGCCGCTGCTGCTTTTACTCGTTTATCATTTAGAAGCTGAGGAATGTCATAGTAGCTACACTACACTGTATATCATACCTCGGTCGAAGTTATGAAAGGTTTAAGCACAAAACGATAAGTTACGGGTGTTTTTTCATTCAAGACAAAATTCAGTATCTATGATGTGTGACAATAGGGACTTTACAAAGCTTTACGTGTACTTAAATATATTCTAGTAACATATGGATTTAGGCTAGCGACGTAATCATACCTCAACCTGAGGTATACCCGATGAAAGCACCAGGATGAACACTGAAAAGCGGAGTACAATTTTTTTTAATATCGATTACAACAAGCTGTACAATGACTGAGTCGTAAAAGGGTTAATGATCTTCTTGTCTTAAAAACAATTAATTTCGAAATTAAAAGAAGCAGTTTTTTTTCGGGAGGCATGGAAGGTGGAGACATAGTTAACGTCATGTGATTCATTAAAGCCGAGGAGTGTTTCACTATCAAATATGTAAAGCATATGTCATAAAAACACTATAATAAATAATCAGCACAAGGTTCGGTTATTGTCACTTAAAGGATTTGCTTCATACCGTCAGAATGGCCTCAACGGAACATATTCTTCAGAAAACATGCCCAACTAACGATATCTTTATCCAAATACACAAATTAAAAGCTCATTTTGTAAATTTTTGGCTTTAAAAAACGTCCTATTTGCTCGGCCTGGGAGTTAATGAGCTACGTGGTCACGTGGTCCGATGACGACAATCGAGCCACTGGAGAACAGAGCGTGCTTAGCTGTCAAACTGAGCTGCATTGTCTACCTTTAAGATGACTTCTCTGGCTTCTGATAAAAGTTAATACTCATTCAAATCTCTTACCCGAGGGATCTAAATCCTCATGAAGCTGTGTAAAACCATTCCCGTCTAGTCAATTCTTTAACGAGCATTTAATTATGGTTATCCCAAGTTGTATAAAACACTGCATTTGAATGAGTAAAGGGTACTGTGGATTATTGCATATGAGGGCCATGTTATTTGTGAAATTCAATTAATTTTATTAAACCGCTGACACTCCGTCTTGGATACTTTTCTTAAACTGAGGTAAACGATGCCCGTTACCTTTACAAGTCCCATCTTAATCATCCATCTAACTGGAACTTCCTTTACCTCTTAATTAGAGGGTTAAATGGCTGGCGATATTTATCTCAGGTAAAAATCTACCTGTGCTTTAGTTTCAAAGAGCAGCTCCCGCAGACCTGGGGGTACTAGATAAAATCTGAACACCGGGTTTATTGAGGAGCTAGAGAAACAAAGGAAGAATTTTTCCTGCACAGCTTCATAGGAATTTTAGCACGGACTTGATCCAGCTTAGACCTTCTAATTAACAGGGTGACATGGGCAATTTTCAAATACAAAATAAACAAATAATAAAACTATATTTCAGTTAGCCTCCTCTTAAATAAATATACCGTTCTGGATAAATTAGAACATTTATTAAATCGACAGAAAATTTTTGACTTAAATGATGATTTTATTATTAATGGAAATTAAGCTACTATATGGGGCACATTTGCTGAGATTACGCTGTTCTTGATGTTTTGCGTTAGTCTACATTTTGCTGTGCGTGCTTGGAATTTTTATATTTTTTATACTCACGTATGTAAAACTGCACATTTAGTAAACATTCAAGTAATGATTTTTCCCATGCTACTTATAGCAAACAATGCTCTTTTACCTTGATCTGCTACATGTTTTTGGGTTTGACAAAGCATACAAATTTGCAAAAAGTTTTGTGTACAGACGCAGAACTTGTATTTCAAGGTATAAAATGATAAATCTTTTAAATTATTTTATACTTCAGATGAAATAACATTCAGAAACAAATCCTCAAAGCATAAACGAATTAGGATTACGAACCATTTTAGTACATAAGTTCCTATTTTTTTCTTTAATATACCGCTCTTTTTTTCTGTTTGTTCTTCAACACGTTTTCTTCCACGGAAGTAATGCCTGGGCATACGCATGCTTCAAGTTACCCTGAGAGCAATTACTTTTATTAATGTTCGCGACGGTGTTTGAACTCAATTGTTTAAATATTGATATTAAACGTCATTTACAAATACCAATAAAATCACCCCATGAAATAAATGAGATATTTTGAAAAATATGAAAGCCCACCAAGACGATTTTGATACCTGTTATTACCTGGGTTGGGAAGTGCAGCGGTGCATAATTAACAGGTTTGTTGTAAACGAGCTTTTGGTCAACTACAATGCATTTAAAATGCATCAGCAATCAGTAAGTTTGCCAACTGATGACAGTTAATCTGAAAGACTACCAGCTCTTGATATGATCTAAACCACCTGAGGTGACCATGATCTAGAGCATCGCAACTATTGTCACCGAAGTTAGTAAGTCACGGAAGACCGTCACAGACAAAGAAAGATTGTCAAAGAGAGCTGCAATTTTGGTGAATCCCACGGCAACACACCGAGGCATAACGAAAATTCCTCAACTCCGTTCAACACAACTTTCCTTAACTTCTCCGTCTGTACAGTATGCACCATGCAGCTCAGTTGAGTCTCATAGACCTTTATCGTGATTGTCGTCACAGTACCACGTGACCTAGATCTGTTGCTTCGTTTATGCATATTGAGGTGAGGTTTACTAAAACGCTTTTTGTCTACTAATAGATTGTTTTTATAATTTTTAAATGACGGGGATCGATTAAAACATAACTGTAGTGTATAGATTAAGTGCTGGATCTTCAGAATTCGAGAAATGGATTTTTATATGATTATTATCCTTTAAAATATTTCTATCAAAGACGTTCAATTAAATCACACATCATTTTACCATTAAAAAGGGGTTCAAGGGACATTTTTTGTTTCAGCTAAGGGGACTTCAGGTAGAGGGTTCAGTGAAGGTGTTTCCTCGAATGATAGCAACAACACGCCCTAGGTCTAAGCTTGGACATAATAACAGAAGGTCTTTCTTTTTTATGTCCAAGGTCTAAGCGAGTTGAATAGAAGCTTTTTGTCCATGCATCCTATTCCTAACTACTGAGTTAGGACATAGGTCTAGTTATAGGTACCGTGCAATTACAACAAATAGATCAGTTGCATATTTTTATAATATTTATAATTAAAATTGTTTTTCTTCAGGTGTCGCATGTATGCATTCTTAACAAGTCGCTAGTATACACTGTAAATCTAACAGAATATGTTCGACATGGCGTTTCTGCACGGCAGCCGGAGACTCAGTAATTGTATGGGCATGGTTTAAGCTTGTTTGAGAGATAATAACAGTTGCATTTAACAATAGATAGCGAGCTACAGTAAGACCCCCTCCTTTTTTAACTGATGATTTACACTGTAAATTAACCGTACTCTCATGTATTGTGTGATCACAATGTCATAGATCCCCCTGTTGCACGTTGGAGTTGAATTGTCCTTGCGCCTCTGTCAATGTACATCATTTAATTTAAATATTATAATATAAGTATAGTATAGGTAATATATTTGCCATATATTGTTCCTTTTTGAAAATGCTATTCGCTGTTTCATTCCTTATTCCTCATTTATTATCGTTCATGTTTTATAAATACTTGAATCAGTAAGTTTATAAATAAATTGAACATTTAAAAATTAAAGCAATAAGAATTTTTTGAGGTTGATGCTGACGCTCATGCATGTTAATCAAACAAACAATACTTAGTTCAATTTTTGACAACGGAAAATTCATATTGAATGAAATAACTGTTAACATATTTTACTAGCAGTTTGTAAGCAACTCTAAAAAGATAACCAGCTGCGCGTGCCTAACTAGTGAACAAAAGGACAATTCACGACGGGAGACGGTTTAGTGGCTCGCGGTAGCATTGGTTCAAGCCTCCTACATCTATAATCCTATTGCCACAACAAACAATGGGGAACTTCTGCTATTAATTACACTTAGTTACAGCGGATTGTCGCGCTGGATCACAGATACCGGCGTCATGGGGTTCACTCTCCTAAGGTATTGTGTTATTACGCCTAAACTATTGTGTTTTTGCGTTCGAATTTTGAAGGGATTTAGACGGCTCTCCATGGTTTATTCGCCCCCTTCTATTCACAGGATAGGTATTAAAACATTTTTAAAACGTCATACAACGGAAACATAATTATTATTACTACTGTAGATAATCAAGCAGTGCTGCAGTGCTCAGCATGGCTTAATACTGACCTAAGTCACATGTCTGCCCCGTATATCCAGGTGGACACACACAGCTGTAGGAGTTTACACCATCCTTACACGTAAACCCGTTTTTACAGGGTTGACTGGTACATTCATCGATGTCTGAAATGAAAATTTGGAACGTGATAATAAAGTGGAAACGGTCTTTAATCATGTCCAATATCCTCACATTTCTAAAATGCGTCAAATGGTATCGTAATTAACTCATTGGCCTTTCTCTGCTCCAGCCCAAGCATTAATTTAAACCGATCTGAATCTGTGACAAGCCACGTAATAAAGCAGAGGTTACATGCCAAACGGGTACGTAATTGGGTAATATAAACGGTCTTATTTTTCAGAATGTTTAAAACCTTTTTAAGGTCCATGTATCTGTAATTCTTACATGCAAAATAAAGCATACACTAGTACACCCCTTTATTCTAAGTACGTATGGTCTTGAAAATACTTAGGGGGAATAGTTTTAAGATAATAACAAAATAGTTAAATATTAAATAACGGTGCCTAGGTTTCCCTCCCGCGTGTTACATATGAGCACTGGTCTATTTCACATTTCATGTCCTACTCGTACCCCTGTTTTGGGGATGTAGAGAAGTGAGAGGGGTGATGACTCGCTAAGGCCGTGCAAATGGCTTAATACTGACCGGTGTCACACGTCTGTCCAGTATATCCAGGCGGACACATACAGATGTAGGAGTTCACACCATCATAACACGTGGCCCCGTTTTTACATGGTTGAATGGCGCATTCATCGATGTCTGAAATATAAATGGATCTTCTTTTTCTAACGTGAGAATAAAGTGGAAACGGTCTTTAATCATGCCCAATATTCTTAATTTTTGAGAATCACTGAGAATAAAATCAGAGTCCAAGTGACTCCAAACTTGGAGTCCAGCAGTGGTGCCTAAAATAACTCTCAATTAGAGTCAAGCCCTAGACCCCACAGGACAGTCACAATTGACTCCATTCACGCATCCATTCATTCTTGATTTATCTCTACAAAAGAGTCACCATGACCCAATATCAAGGAATTTTTGACTTCGCACATTATGAGAAAAAGAACAACAACAACAACAACAGTACCAAGCGGGGAGGCAGCGGGTACCGTTTATTAAAGACTGATATGTTTCGGTACGGTCTTGAACCGTCGTCCTCCCACATAAAGGGTGTGGGCAACTGCTCTCCCCACACGTCGTCCCTGCGGGGTACAGTAATTAAATCTCGGCTCCGAACATGAATATCTCCGTGAATATCTCTGGTGATATTATCTCCGTAGATAGTCGATTCATTGCTGCTCTACGGGCCAATGCATTCCTTTTTCGTCTCTGTTTTGAAAGATAATAGAACAGAAGAGCTTTTTTCCTTCGATCGCCTTCAGCCGCCATGCTTTCTACAACACGAGTTTAACTGATGAGCATGCGCACTTAATATTTCTCAGGTAGCTTCCGCATGGCGAACGGAGCCGAGATTTAATTACTGTACCCCGCAGGGACGACGTGTGGGGAGGCGTGTGAGAGGCGGAGAGACTATTAAAAGATTAGGCGGTTTTTCTTTCATGTACGTCCGCCATTTTTAGTCTCAGGATTTGTAAAGCCTGGCTCAATTCGTTGAGAATGCGGTCTTAGTCAGTTCATTTGTGGCATATCCTGTAAATTTTATTAAAATCTATCCAAAGCTAGCCAAGTTAGGCTGTTTACTAATAAATTAACAAAGGTAAAAAAATAACCTTCATGGCAGAGATGATCATCAATGTGTATCAACACCATTAAAAATGAGTAGAAATCTTTAAACTCTACCAAACTGTTCTTCACACATATAGCATGTATAAATCAAATTAAACAAATATTACCTATAATCTGTAAAATCTATTCAAACATTCAGAAATCCTGAATAAATAAAACTTTTGAACAACCTTACACATAAAATTGAGAATTTTGTACTAAATTTAAATCTCAACCAGGTGGATTGTCAGTCTTCCTGGATATATATGAACCTACACTGTGGCACATGTGCTGCTTAACCCCTTACTTTTAACCATCTTCTTTTATTCTAAGGTCTTTGCATGCAAGGACTAGTACTTACCTTCATGTTTCACCTTATTCTTTCTAGACTTCATACAATTCCTACTATCCTGAATAATTCAAGTTTTAAGCCCATTGGGCTGACACATGCAGAAAGACCCATTACTATAACAATTGGTGATGTACCAGTGGTTCCCCAAGTATACACCAAGTAGGGGGATTGGGGGGGGGGGATGGATGAGTTCAAAGTAGGTGTTAGTACACATGGCTAATATGGGAACCCTTGCTTAAAATAACTCACCTTCGATTTTGAAATATTTCCTTTCAACTGAAAGACATTCACTAACTTATTCAAATATCTGTTTAAGCAATAAACACCGATTCTGAAGTGTGATGGAAAGTAGTATGAAACAAAATTGGAAGTATTCATTTGTTGAAGAGCCAAAAGAAAAAGAATTTAAAAGATCTGGAGCAGCTAAATCGTAGAAATTTCACATTTGCTGAATACAGATATTATGTATAGATTTACTTCCCCACCCACTCTGTAACTAGCTACATACCTGTTTGCTTTTTCTATCCTGTGCCAATTTTTTCTCTGTATCATTTTGGCAGAAATACTGGGTGCATCCACGTCCTATGTACTATAAGGAAATGCAACAGTACATCACAACAACAGGAGAGCATGCAATGGGTGAACTTTTTCCAAGACAATTACAAATTTTGGAGCTTACTGCACTTATGAATCACATCCTTGACTTATTACATTAAGAATGCATGTGGGGAGTTATGCTACAAGACAATTACAACACTGCAAAAGAAATAGGGGAAACATTAATGTGCCAACTTTTTTTTTTACATGCAAAGAAAGTGGTCACTTTGCCCTGGAAAACAGATATAAGCTTCAGATATCTTGAGAGAAAGATTCCTTCTAAAAAGTAAACTTCTTCATTTTTATCCATATACGCAACAAGTCAAGAGGTTACAATGACATTCAGACCACAACAATCAATCAAAAAGCCTTTATTTGACTACTTTCAATCAGAATTGCCAATCAACAAAAAGCATCATGTGGTATATATACAGACAGAAGTAGTCATTACAAAACATTTATTGACACTTTTTTGTTCTGAAATCAAGAGAGCTAGATACATGCAACCTACATGAAAATTATCAGGTGATGTTAATCCCAGCTTCTTCCTTGTGTCTTCAGGGGCCCCAGCACAAAGACGGTAGAAAATGTGGTAGTTGCGCTCTTCTGGGCCCTGTACACAGATGCGAGACTTTTCAAGCAGGTAGTGGGAGATAAAGCCACCAGCTACAGCATTCTGTCAAAAAAAGAAGAAAATCATATAAAACTTATTTTGCTTTGATTACAATTAGTTTACTAAATATTGTCACTAATGTAAATTCTACCTTTTCAAAACAATACACTACAATTGCTTTTTTATTTCTGGTTCATTTACAAAATTGCTTGCCTTATCATTGAAGTGAATCTCAACAAATTTTCCAAATCTACTGCTGTTGTTGTTTCTCACAGTCTTGGCATTGCCAAAGGCTTCCAATAGTGGGTTAGCTAAAAAATAAAACATGATTATCAATGCTGTGGCAGCACTTCAACCAACAATGCAAGCAAAATTAACAACTTGAACGTTATGTTTTGTCCTGTTATTCTGAACAAACGATTCCAGAACATGTACATAGTTATTTTCAAGAATGAGGACAGTTTGTCTAGATATAGCAATCCCCAATTCCCGCTAAAAAATTCCAATAAATATGATTTTCTTGAAGTGACTACTTTGGCTAAATCGTTGAACATGCCAGGACACTGAGATAAGAAAAAAATCACTTATCATTCCTAAATGTTTATAAGTATTTATTCAGTCTATATTTGCCTTCTCAGTCAACTCTCAGCACAAAGAAAAGGTTGGTATAAAGTCTCTATAACACCTACATTCCACAATCCTTTCTTCAATTGGTCCAGCATGGGTGCCCCAACTCTCAGTGAGATACTTCAAGATGTATTTGGTGGATTCTGTCTTTCCGGCTCCAGACTCTCCGCTCACTATGATAGACTGGCTCATCTTCAATGACCGCATATCACGATAGGCCTTGTCCGCTGGAAAATACATAACAATAATCAGTGTTGATCACTAATATAATTTTCACCACAAAAACAGCGTGGCATCAATTTAGAATACCATGTAGTTTATACTAACATTTTAATTTGGGATTAACTTATATAGTCCTGAAATTTTTAGTAGTGAAAAACAATACTGAAAATATCAATTTCGATACATAGTTAAAATTAATGAAAAAGTAGGCCATTTGGCAATAAAGGAGAAGTATCATAAGGGTGATCAAATCCATTTCATAGCATACAATGATACGTCTTTCCCTCCATTATTCTCTCCCCTGCCTTTTATTTATTTTGCTAATCTACACAAAATGTCAACATTTAGAAGTATAGCATCAATAAACCAACTTACCTATAGCAAATACATGTGGAGGCATTGTTCCCAAAGATTTCCCCTGATATTTCTTAATGGTAGCTGAAGAATACGCATCAGGTATCTCAAAGTAGGGGTTCACTGCTATAAGAATATTGGCCACATATGTCTGAAAAAAAAAAATACTTGTGCTTAGACATTAAAAGACCATGGGCATAATGTCAAACTAATGACAGTGAAGAAAGTAAAATTCTTTGGAGTATATCTCAACTATTCCTCTTTTTATGCCTATTGTATGAGCATACATGTATTTATTTATTCTTTTATTTGCATTTACTAATTTTTTCCGAAAATTGGTTTCATTTTTACATATAACAAGTAAAAATACTATAATTCTACGCCGTTGAAACAAATTCATTAAAAACACGGAAGTAGATTTCTCCTTCCTTGTTAAAAATATAAATATACTTATTTTCATATTCAAAACAGAAAATAACACATACATATATGTGATTTTTGGTGTAACGGATTCTTATATTGTTGAGTAAGGTGGCTTCATTGAGATACATCAAGGCACCTGAAACAAACAGAAAATGAAAATCAATAACAATGGCACAGTGATATTAGGCAATTGAAGGCAGCTAATATGGATTATGTCTAACAGTGGTTACAATCAAATCAGTACATTGTTGTAATGGTGGTTATAAAAATGATTACATAAACAAATCCAAGAAAAATAATGAAAATATATTTAAAACTGTAAATAATAATATAGAAGCTGAAATGCAAATTGTTTTACAAAATGGATTTTTAAACAAGGAGTATACACATATTTAATTAATGTAGATACCGGATTTCATGCATGGAAGGTAGGTTACTTAAGTGTGTGAGATAGGTAGGATTTTAGCCTGACCAAAAACACCTTTTAATCATCAATGAAAGCAAACCAAATTCCCAATGCTAATTACTGGAAGCCATAAAACAAGCTGTGGGTATAAAGGATTTTAATTAGTAAGAGCAGACTGCATGCAATTTCAATCTGTTCCAGCTGTTTCAAGTTTCACCCACCCAGTAGAGCAGGGATGGAATAAACCCACAGCTGGTGCATAATTACATGCTATTTCACAACTGAGACAAGGAAAAATGGATCCTAATTTACATTTTCATCTCTTAAACCAACCTCTCAATGTAACTTTAAACTACAAACACCATAGCAAAAACATTGCAAAAATATTTACGCAAACAGAGAGAGAGAGAGAGGTTTTCAAAGGGAACCTGCCTTGTTAAAGTACAAAGCCACTCAGAAAATTTGAAGTTAAAAAATGTTATGTTAACTTTTATAAAAATAATCTGATCATGCTGCTTTTTGAAAAGAGCCCTGTGTTAACCACACAATATTACTCAGTAAATTTAAAGTGAAATAAAAACAGGATTTGGCAGCTACAGGGAGAGATGTTTCAGATGGCAACAATGACAAGAATGACAACACAGTGCTGAGAATACATACATGTACAGTCACATAAATTATAGACATCATATATAACTAACACACATTCTCAACAAAAATAATCATATAAAACAAAAGTGGGAATATGGGTTGTGATATAGAAAGGAATAAAATATCTAGGCATGACTATCTTTTTACAACTTAAAAAGAACAGTCACAAGACAAAATTTGTCAGTACAAAAGTACTAAGATTATTTTTAATCCATGCAATACATGCAAGAACTGTCACAAATTTCAACCTACACAACATGTCTTAAGAAGCAAAGGCAGAGACATACTTTGTATTTCCTTTTTTTCCACACATTCTTTTAAATGCGTTTGTGTCATCATGCAACCAGATGCTTTTATCACCTAGACTATAAGCTGACAGCTTGTTGATACCATATATCAGATCCTTCACTACCACAGCATACTTCAACCATATACACTGTATGAATACACTATATAATCTAGTTGCCTGATGCATGCACAGAAATATCATTAACACAACTGCATATCTCTTTCTTAAAAGTGTGTGAAGCTATTTGCTGATAATTGCTGAGATAATTTTTGCTTATCAGATTCTTAAAGTATTCAGCTGTAGCATCTGTGTCACTACAAGATGACTAAACCGGACATCATGCGGAGACTGGTTTTTGATGTGCAGTAAATTATTATCAAATCTTGTAAAACTGAAACATGTGGAAGCATGAAAAAAATCATGCTTCAAGGATATTTTCTGGAATTAAATATCTTATTGACCCCCCCACACACACACACACAAATAGAGAAAGACACACATGTGGACCTGTCACACATAAACACCAATGAACATGACTAAAATACAGTTTACTTACAGTTGTCTTCTACATCCTTGTTATCATACTCCTCTGCTGGGTACACACGATCATATGCAGCACTGATAGCCTACACACAAAGTCAATTGAAAAGTAACAATAACTACATGTACAACAAACACAAATTATTTGAACAATTTCCTTGTTTTACACCAAGTTTCTCCAAAATGATACGTTTATTTTTTAAGATGCATGGTCTCTTGCAGTATTCATATAAATGTTACAACACCATATTTCTGTCAAATTAACATAGAAGATGAAAATAGGCGCCACTGCTGTTACTGTAACAAAAATGCCATAAAATTATGAAATATTTTACAATATCATAACACACTCTCCATATAATAACAAGAGTGCTTATTTTCCATTCTTGAACGTGAATCTCAAGTAATTGGTAACTTACACTTCCTGGGGCATCAAATGGTTCCACAGTAATAGTATCAGCCCCTATGTCAATGATGCGACCAAGCTTGAAACCCTGGGACGGGTGGGGCACCCAAACCTTCTTGCCACCATCCATGGTGGTGCTGCTGGAAGAATCCCTGAATCAAACAAAATAAGACAATCAATTCAGCACCACTACACGAGACCAAAAGGGTTTTCAAACAGCTCATCAATGGAAGATAAATGAAGTGAAGTGAAAGTGCCCTTGCTAGCTTTGCTATAGACCCTTCACATAATATTTTCAGGCTCTGAAATTATGATATATAGGTGAGAATTGCATGTCTTCTTTCCCTGTTGCCAAGCAACATGTCATGACAACCATAACTACCAGTCTGCCTCAAGGCACACTGCCTGCAGATACTTGTTGATTCATTGATTGTAAGAGGATATAAAGGCAAGATTTTCATCAGAAAAATATAGAAGGGCGGGTGTCATTCTTGTGCTATGAAGAAATCACTGCACTTTCTATTAACTGTTGATGTGTAATAAAATACTTCATCAAAGCACATTAATGATGACATATTTATGGTGACCACATGATTTATTAAATCATCACCTCAAAATTAGAAAATGAGTAGACAGTCTGGGAGATATTAAGCCATAAGATTCAACCTAAACAAAATAGGTTGATAAAATTTCTAAAACTGAAGCCATTAAATCTCCTTTGATAAATTAATATTACTCAACACCAAATTTGCAAAAAAAAAAAAAACTAATGTAACTACACAGTGTGAAAGACTCTATACAGCTCGTGTTCAAATAGGCAACAAAAGTCCATGGTGATATATATATGAAATATATGAAATTAAATATGGAAATATTCTTGCATGACAATTAAAATAAACCAGACAACTGGACTTGCAGGTCATGAACAACTTAACAGCACATATGATTTATGACCCCTACAGTTGTTATCATAAAAACAGAAATAATTATCATTCATGCAACCTCATGTGGAAAAGAAACCTAGATACCAGGCTGTCAATTCATGATATGGTTTATGCTATCACTAGGCCGTACTAGTACTTATGACTAAACCATAAATATAAAAGGAAAACAAAAAAGCCATTATGATAAGAAGACTGAATAAAATAGGACATATTATCTAAATAAATAATTCCACATTTGATTTCGTTCTTTTAAATCTTTTTTTTTTCTTTCATCATAAGTTTACAAAACTAAAATGTGTGTATTTGAATGTATGTATGTATGTGTATGTGAATTTTCGGGACAGGTGTCAAATTTCTTTAAAAGTCCCCTTCAAACATATACTGAAAACAATATTTTAGAAGTGTGAATTCCTTTCAAACAGAAAAGATCGAGTTTATCAAAATATTTTAAGATAATGATTCCAAGTGAACCAGATCATCTTTACTGATGCTAATATGTTAATGACACTGGTTTGAAAATAAGACATAAATATGCATCAGGGATGCACAAATACCAAAGAAGATCTTAGAACTGTCATAGCAATAATGAAATATGAGAAGATACTCAACAATAGACTTAGGTATGATACTGATAACCAGTACAGCCCATTATTTGACCTTGTGGACTTGTAATACTTTGTTTGATTATGGCTAATGGACAAATGGACAATCAGTATTATACCTGTACTACACGGTCATTAAACTTTGTTCATCTTGAAGTGACTAACAGAAGTACTAGTACAGTATACTACTGTGTATACGGATATAAAACATCTTGTGATTAGATAACATACAAACTTGAGTTAAATCACAAGGCCCAGTCCAACTTATCCACTGCAGAGATATTTAGAGAAAGAAACTTGGGGTTTACACTTAGCTGTCTACTTCTGGATTAGATAGTATATGCTTCAAAGCATGTGTCAACTATATGACCCATCTATCAGCAGCAGGGTCGGATCCAGAGATATTTTCTGACAGTCTTCCAAATTATCTTTGTTGATCCATCCTCCATTTTTGACTGTCTTCCGACAGAAAAAAATAGATACCCGTCAATGTAACCTTGAAAATCTGACCGTCTTCTGGAAGACCCAGAAGACGGCCTAAATCCGCCCCTGAGCAGGACCTTGATAAGGGGCTTTCTTAGAATGAGACATATGTGCAAACAAAATTACTGAACAATATATTATGCTGTTAATAATCTCATTTGGTCATGGTTTAATATTCGCTTAAACAAAAGTGGCTTATTCCAAGGCAATAATGAATAATCACAAGTTACCTAAAAAGTACTGGCATATAGCTGAGTAATTCTATTGGTACTGCATCTAAGTTTGTTTAAAATATTTGTTTCCATGAAATGCCTTATAAAAGAGCAAACATACATATATATATATATATATATATATATATATATATATATATATATATATATATATATATATATATACATACACTGTCTTCACATATTACACTGTGTTTCTATATTAAACAAAGACACACAATTGAATGAATGAGGATAATCAAACCAAACCCACATTGAACAAAATTCTTAGATCTATCTATTATCAAAGATGACGCATTTTGCAGTCTATAAACATGTTAAATAAAAGGCGTGGTGCATTCTTTCACGCGCTGTACCCACCCAATTGTTTGTCGCAATATGAGAATGTGTAACTGTTGACTTTTCACTAGAAATCACTTAATCAGGAAGTTCAGTCATTGATGACATTATTCAGAACCAACTTCACTTTCAGTGGTCAGCGAGACGAAGTGTAAACTATGCAACTGTAAAGTCTATTTTACTCATGAACACCACTCTCTTGCCGTGACTTAATACTTACCAAGTTTAACTGTTTTTAATGCCGATTAGGGTGGTAGATTAGGCCGTCGTTCGCTAAACAGGTGAGCCGGTAATTGGTTGTACTACACCCACGTGAAAAATCGTGCCCTAAATAAATAGTTCCTTCAAAGAGTGCCCTTCTTTTATGCTGTGTCACAATTCATACAGAATATAATGATATGAACAAATATTTGAAAGAATATTGATCGCATACGATTAATATTTTAACTGTGCAACATATTAGTTCGCGTATTAATATACCTGGACAAATCGACCTTGCCCTCTTAATGACGTTTGCGGGTTCACAGCTACTGCAATTAACAGTTTGTTCTCAACCAACAAAATTCGCTCTAATAATTTGAGCAATCCTTTGAAGAGTTCATTAGGTTTTGCTTGTGTCCAGCTGAATTGCAGCCTGGGGCACTTATATCATAGGTGCACACGGGTAATGACAGATCTTATCTGAGGCTTTACCTAACAAATTTGCAAATCCAGCCCTGTCTTATTTTTAATTGCAGTTATCCAATTATTAAACTGGCAAATTTTTAACGTTTTATCTCAATTACAAGATTGCATGCATGGTCCACTCTTGCCATTCTGTGAATCAACATATTGTTCTGCAGATTTTGTTATTCCCGTCGCCACAGTTGAAGTATTTGTTGCTTTTTTGTTACCTTTCTAATTTGCACAGTTAGTTTAGAGCAATGTTTTATGTTTGTTTCTATTACTTGAATATTCAGTTCATCAGAAAACCTAGTAAGAGATAGTGAGCAACCCCTTTGAAACTTTCTTTGCAAAACGCATTTGGCTGAAATTTTTTTTTTTTTTTTGACAAATAAAAAAGACAAAATGATAAGGCCTACACTTAAGGAAAAGTGCTTAAAAGATCGTATTTAAATGGAGCATTTTTTGCCAAATTGAGAACCTGCCACTCAGATCTTTTAGGCTTAATCATTTGTGACAGCACAGAAGCTACAGGCGATTCCAAAAATTCTGAAAAGTACACTTATTTCACAGGTCGCACAAGAGGTTTTATCATTTTTAATAAAAACTTGAAGACAATTTAAAAAAAAAATTGCAACAGAATCTCAACTAAATATAAGCAACAAGTATTGAAGAAACGACTTTATTTATAACAAATATTTTTCTGTTATCTGCAGTTTCAGTGACATTGTTAACAAAAGATTTCAATCTGAAAAAAAAAAAAAAAACAACAGGTCCAGGGATGGTTCAAAACACTTGATAGCGAAAGATTGGGGACACATTGTTGTTCAACCAATCTTTATGTGCATTTAAATTGTTGATAAGGCAAACCAACCCTGTAACAGGCTAAGGCTTCATGAAACAGGTCTCTGGTAAGCACTTATGACTGAAATTGTGCGAATACCCTGAAAATCCTACGTAGAAAGCAATGAAAACCTAATGACAAATGCTTATAAAACTGGAAAACCTATAACGCAATCACTGTCCTAAAACCAGTGTTTAACTTGTAGATTAATAATCATAGTCATTTCGAAGCCAAATATTTTAACCAGGCACTTTCAACAACTATAGATTTTGCATAATTTTCTACAACATTCAGATGAATTCACATTTTTTGTCCTGATGATGCCAGAATTCCAAACTCAAAGGCTGTAAATCACAAAATTAATGACTAGGCCCTAACATTAGAAGATGGGTAACATCATCTTAGAGCATTAAGTCTACAGTGCATGGTTTTAGCTCCATTACTGCTAGCCCTAAGACAGGAAAGGTAGTGATGCAGTACTACTTGCATTTTTAGTGCACCAATAAGCAGTGATGCTCAATATCTCTGAAACTACAAAAGCTAATCATACACTGCTACTAAAATACATATTCGATATGCCTCACTCAGGCATATACTTTGAAAAATATCTTATCAATGCAATCCCAGTGAAGACAGAGTGGGGTCTATTTGCAGGTGGATAATATAAGAAATTAATCTTTGCACATGAAAAATAATTCCCCCTCACCATTTCTGCTGGAATGCACATCAAAAATATTTTTTTCAATAGATATCTTTTAAAGTTCTACTGTTTACGCTACTTCTTAATTAAGTGCCATAACTGAAATTTGACCAATACAAAACATTTCTTCTTGAAACCATCAATTAATACAAGTGAAGTGTAGCTTTAGAGCACTGTATTTAAAATAATCAGTCCAAAAACTTTGACTGACTTATTGTTAGTAACAAATGATTCACCAGATATGCATTAAAATTTTTTTTTAATATGAGAATTACATCAGAGGAGAGAATTTATCACTTTGTATAAGTGACTTTGTAACACCAAACACTGTTCCAGAAATCAGTCATTTAAAAATAAATCCAGATCAGTGTGAAACATGTTTTCAATATGAAACAAGTCTAAGAACAACTAAAAACAATATAATTGCTTTTTCCAACTAGTCTTAAATGAAATGAACTGAATAAGCCCCCAATAACCTGCATCATAACGCTGCTTACTTCAAAAATCCTAAAATGCTATTTCATCAAAATGATCACTTTCATCCTTTATACTACAATCTTATATACACTAACCATTCTTTATGGTCATTTTTGGTCCATACTTGTTTCTTTTGCGAGAATACGAACAAAGATTAAAAGCAACATGCATTTCCACATTGTGTACATCAAGTCTGTTGGTTACAAGTGGATTCTTTTCCTGTCTTAAAAAAAAACTTCAAATGTTTTTTTTTTTCCATTTCATAAAAACTGATCAAAGGTCCTTTCCTCCATCAGATATGAATAAAAGTTATAGTTTTTAAGGAATATTTAGCACCTGGTGATTCCTCCCTGCTTCTGCGAGATTAGATTTGTCTTATGACACATCTGTAAAGAAAAAAATAGAAGAAATAATACATTCTGTCAAATTATACACTAATGAAACTTCATTTTGCACCTCACTGTTCACTGTTTATCTCCCATTACAATTTAGCATTTAATATGAAACAGTTAAGTACATGTAGTTATTATAACATTAACCAGTAAAAACATCAAACTGAACTTACAGCTTACGGGCTGTTCTACAAATCGCCGTTGGATTTGATCATGATTGAATTTCAGGAAAGCTTCATATTGTTCTGAAATAATAAAAAAATATATATTTACAAGGAATATATTATTTTCAGTAAATGAGATCTACAGGAAGTAACATGATTTTTGGTCTACTCCATCACTTCTCTGTAACTATATTATTATATAGACATTTCCCTCACATTAAATATTGATATACTTGTATGTGAACAATAAACTTGGGCACACATGATCAATCTTTGTAAAGAAAATAGACAAAAGCCATAAATACTAAATACACAGGAATATATGTTTAAAAAGAATTGTATTTAAGGACTATATCATATATTAAACTGACAAAAAAAAAAAAAATCAAGGGATTTTCAAAACTTACCCGCCATTTTACAAGTGAGAACTTTGTCATATTCTTCTCTGATTTGGGCTTCCCTTTCTTTGAGCATTCTATCACATATTAAGCTGACTTGTTTGAAAGTGAAGAGAGGCACTTCCTTCTTACTTGGGGAAAGGGCATTGAAATATGTGGAGGATGATTGCACAGAGGCGTCCTGGTCCTGATGTGTGCTATCAGCAGGCTGTTCATGGATTGTGTTAGGTGGTGGACTAGGCGGCATGTGAAGCTGACGTCTGTGCTGCAAACGTTTGATTTCTGCCTGAATGTTGGCAGCTATTTGCTCTAAAATTGAAATAAAAAATCAAATTAAAATACTAATACTACTAATAATAAACAGTTAACAGAAGACCTGAGTGGAACTTTTACTATATTACCTTTTTGTTTCCTGTAATACTAATTTCAACAGTCATTTAAGAATAAAAGTTCAAAATTGCATTTTCACAATGACTATAAAGCTCCTGACCTCACCACGAAGCAACTGCTTAAAAATTCCTATAGCCAACTTGTCTAAGGCTCTATTCCCATAGATTTTAGATCGATCTATCCCTGCGGGGAGTCTCACTAGATTACTTTCAGATAATCTGACTTAAATGTCCGCCCCGCCTACTACAAGCTTTAAGGGGGTAATTCACTTTCGTGTCCGCCCGGCTGACAGCTATTTAGCGTGAACCCCCAGGGAGTTAGGTCGATCTAAAGTAGGTCGATCTAATCTATGGAAATGGGGTGTAAGGCTTTATATCTGAGGGAGAAATTCAATCATGCACCCCACCTGATTCAATCATGCACCTCATCTACCAATATTACACCACAATCCTTGAGATGAGATAGCATTATGGACACTTATCACTCCTATTTATGTTGTTGATATGCAAATAGGTGCTTACATACAAAAGATGTACATAACTTTATAATAGTGTTCAGCCAGCAAATCTGCTCAATTCCAGGGGATATCAGTTCTTTACTAACGGTTAACCAATAATCTTCTCAAGTAACACACACACACACACACACACACACACACACACGGCCAACCAACAACAGCACTGTGAGATAAACTATCTACCATTTGCAAAAATGTAGTCACAGAGCACATTCCCAATGATACACGTTTTATGTAGATCAATGCAATCAGTTGAACTGAATCACATGCCTCCTCCAGCAGCTAGGAGGTAACTGACTTCAGTTGCACTCAAAACAAATTGAAAAAAACTTCCAGAAGCTGAGCGGGTTGGAAAGAGAGCCAACCCCTAGCTGCTAGATGAGACATGTCATTCAGTTTATCTGATATACAGCAAAAGCTTCATTGGGAATGTGCCCATATACCAATTGAAACTATCTAATTCAATTGACTTTATAATGCAAGAAGTAGATCTGAATAGTTTCCTTGGGGTCCTTGAAAACAAATTCAAAGTTGCATTCAAGATCATGTGGGCCAAGTAACTTCCCTTACAAGTTAATATGCAGAATTTCATTTCCCAATCGGTAACACTTTGACCTACTTCTTGGTATGAATTGTAAGCAATGGATTTAGCAATGAGCGTATGACCCCATACTCTAAGACATCATCAGTCTATGGCGATGGGGCTTATGATTAATTAACGTGGGAATATTTAGTAACACAAATTAGTCTGAATTCATTCAAAGCACTATTGATAGCAAAACTGGTTGGTTTTTTGGCAATGTGTGACTTGAGAAGGTAAGAGGTTGAGAACTGCCAGCTGAAAGCCATTTTACAATGACCCATACCTATAAGTAGGTCTTTCTTGTATAAGCATGACATTTTGTATTCCGATGGAAATTCATCTGTAGTCGTAGAATATGATTCAATCATGACATTTTGTACATACAAAACAGTGTGCCATCTGTTAGTTAACAACCTAATTCCCTAATAAGACCGAGCACCACATTTAAAATGCATCTTGCACTGTGTTTAAACTTTTAACTCCCTGCAGAACTTCCCTCTTGGCTAACCATCACCTTCCTTGATTATCTATAATTATGATCGTGCCCATATTAAAGGGAAAGGTTAGTTGCATTGGTACATAATTTTGAGACATATTTACAGCAACGTCACATTTTTAAGTTATATTTGTTACATTTTCAAGACTGTACAAAATCTCAAAGTCAATCAGTAATTTGAAATGAAGAACTGCAAAAACATAAACATTGTCAGAAGCTTCATTTATCTCGATTCTTTTCAAGATTTCTCACCTGGGGTAACTTTCGGGGCTACATCAGAAAATGACGACTGGCTACACTGCTGTTTTGTGTTAGGCGTCGTAGGTGACATTGTCATTGGTATACATCTTCTGCGTTTTGGAGTTCTAGGACTGTGTAGAGGATCAAAATCCAGACTTCTTTTCAAAGTAGCACAAGCCATCTTTTGTTGTCCTGACGCTGGAACAACCGACGGCTTTGCTGACCGTAAACGTTTTCTATCAAATACAAACTTGATAAAAAATATGTTCTATTGTTAGATTGATGCCAAAGGCAACTGAACCACTCCAAAATAAGTTTCCCTAAGATCACAATACTTAGCGATGAAAAAGATTTCAAAGCGTCTCTACTCCGAAAAGAAAATTTCAAGATGGCTACAGACGAAAACAAATTTTAGCCTCTTTCCCGCAGCGACATGCGCACAATTTTATTCGCCTGCTTGAGTTTCCGGTGTGAATGAAGTCCTCCACGCAGTCCTCTGCTTTACAATGTGAGAAAGGTAAATAACTCTTACTTTCTGTTTCATTACAGTTTTATAGCTTTTATTATAATCACTCTTTTTCCTATGAGGAATTGAAAATTTCTTAGATCTAAAGGTCTTTTGTGGCTTCGTCCGCTGCTGCTGCGCTAGCATTATTGCACTGCTGCAATGCTTGCTAAGACCAACCTCTCACTCAATTTTGGAGGCTACTGCCTTAGATTTCGTTCTTAGATGCAAGGTATTTAATGAGACAAAAGCGAAAAGGGAAATCACTTTTTATTCAGGAGCAGTGACCGGGTATCTGGTTGTGATCCTCCATTGTGCAGCCTGGTACACGTAGCTTTATTACGTGCCAGTAGCTAAATTTATCCACTACGTTAACAATAAAGTACAATTATTGTACCCAGTTATCAAGTTCAGATGTAGAAAGAAAAGTGTAAACCCTTTTCGTTATATACATAGTAGACATAAAGATCCGAAGAAGTGTTCAAGTTGAAATATTTGATAAAATTTTGCATTTATGCTTATATTTCAGAGCATTAGATGTTAAGCTGGAATAAAGACAGGAAGAGCTTTTACGGGATTAAATATTTGTGTACAACAACAATTTGGTACAATATTTACAAAAATGTCCAGTAAGAGGAAACAAAGTAAACCAAATAAAACTGATGCCAAGAAACTAAAATGTCTCTCGTGGAACATGCAGGACATGCTAGCCCCAACTGTGGATATTCAGTCAACAGACACTTATACCAGTGCATCAGAGATTACTTGTAAGGAAACAGATGATACTGCTTGCAATCTCAAAAAATCATCACATCTTTCACAGACTACTGTTAACCAAAAACTACAGAAGCACTTAGATGATTGTGATTTTTATTTGACTGTTAGGAATACCTTTAGCTTGAAAGGTAGTGCTTGGTCATGTCTGCTTGGTTCATTCAAAATTAAACTAACACAAGAGAGTCAATGCCAGATTGAAGATATACTGCCAAAAAGTGAAGAATTCTGGCTATATGTTAGTGAAATTCCAGGTTGCAGTTTTGTATATTTTGAGACTGAAGATGACCAGCTATCTCAACCAGGCCCGTCAACCTCTGTGCCCAATTCATCTCCGTGTGATAAGAATCAGATATTTTATACTGTATATACAGGGAATCTTACACAGGAATTACTGAAAGGGCTACAGCTCAAATGTTTTCTTTTGGTCTACAACAGTTTCGATCCAGTGACCGGCGAGATAGAAATATGCCTTCACTTGCTTGAGTCTGGATTGAGTAATCAGGCTTTTGCCAGTGAGAAGACAGTCTCTACAAGTGCTTCATCAAGAAAGACCACAGCAATTGAAAAAGTTATAGAATATTTCTATGGAATTAGAACTCAAGGTAAACAAAAAATCCTGATCCATGCATTTGACTTTTAGTAAGTCTGATATACTGCATTTGATATACTGGTGATGAAGATGTATTTCTCATATTTTAACAAATTTATATCTACCATTGTTAAACTTTTATGTTATATGATATATTTCAAGTAAACAGTAATTTTACACAGAAAATATATTGTTTCATTGACCTGCTGGATCTTATGTTTTTTCTACTATTCCATAAGTTATTCATTCATTCATTCATTCATTCATTCATTTCAGATTATTTTGGACATACATTCCAGAAGAAACATGATATTGATGGCTTATTTAGGACAGTTAAGAATTATCACCAGAAGGAGAAAAGACAAGTCAGTTTTGATGTCCAGCATGTTGGTCTTAAACCAGTGTTGCGGGAATATCAAAAAGATGCTGTGCTGTGGATGTTAGAGAAAGAGAGATACAGAAGGGAAAATGATCCAGTTGAGAGTAAATCATTTACTATGTTAATTTCCTTTTTATTTTATTAACTGTATCTTAGGTTTAACTTTTTCTTTGGTTTTAGTACTTTTTTTAAATAATTTATGACTGTGTAGGTGTGTTACATTATCATCTCTGTAAAGCAAAATGTGCTGTTATCTTTTACTTGTCGTTACTTAAAATAATTTTTCAGTTTGTTTTTACAGTACAAATTTTGATTGTTGAAACATGTTTTAATTTATGTCCTTTCAGCCAAATTACATTGCCTGTTTGAAGAACTCCAAACCAGTGATGGGAAATTATTATATTACAACAAATGGGGTGGCTGGTAAGTTTTTATTTATTTATTTATTTATTTGTATATATATATATGTACATACAGGAAACATGTAGAAAATAAGTAAAGCTATAGTTCCTACATAGGGAGGATATATATATATCATGGAGAGTTTCAGTGAGAAAGTTCATGAAGTTCATGACTTTTTGTGAAAGGAATGATTTTAGACAATTAGAGTCAAGAATGTAAATCGGTACATGATAATGTTGTTTATGATTAATCACTAAAATAGAGGGAACTAACATTACCTATATGAATTGCAGGTTTAGCCATATATATTATATATCAACAATCTAAATTACTGCATGTACATGTAGTATGTCCACTTTAGCATATACTATTTTTGGTTCTCACCCCAGTGGGAAAATGTGTTCAGTTTTTGTTCTTATTAATAAATTTCTAGGTTATATATTATATAAGCAACTCCAATTCTTGTTCTAGTGTTATAAACTGGAGACCTATGTCAGTAGTGTCTCCACCTGGTGGGATATTGGGAGACGAGATGGGATTAGGGAAGACAGTAGAAGTTCTGGCATGTGTCTTGAACCATCCAAGGACAGACCTGCCCCCTCCAATTCCTATGGAACCATCCACTGGTTATGTGAAGGTTTGTGACCCCTGCAAAAATCTTTGCAGCATGTCTGTTCAGTCTTTATTATAAGTTAAANTGTCAGCAGGCTGTTCATGGATTGTGTTGGGTGGTGGACTAGGGGGCATGTGAAGCTGACGTCTGTGCTGCAAACGTTTGATTTCTGCCTGAATGTTGGCAGCTATTTGCTCTAAAATTGAAATAAAAAATCAAATTAAAATACTAATACTCCTAATAATAAACAGTTAACAGAAGACCTGAGTGGAACTTTTACTATATTACCTTTTTGTTTCCTGTAATACTAATTTCAACAGTCATTTAAGAATAAAAGTTCAAAATTGCATTTTCACAATGACTATAAAGCTCCTGACCTTACCACGAAGCAACTGCTTAAAAATTCCTATAGCCAACTTGTCTAAGGCTCTATTCCCATAGATTTTAGATCGATCTATCCCTGCGGGGAGTCTCACTAGATTACTTTCAGATAATCTGACTTAAATGTCCGTCCCGCCTACTACAAGCTTTAAGGGGGTAATTCACTTTCGTGTCCGCCCGGCTGACAGCTATTTAGCGTGAACCCTCAGGGAGTTAGGTCGATCTAAAGTAGGTCGATCTAATCTATGGAAATGGGGTGTAAGGCTTTATATCTGAGGGAGAAATTCAATCATGCACCCCACCTGATTCAATCATGCACCTCATCTACCAATATTACACCACAATCCTTGAGATGAGATAGCATTATGGACACTTATCACTCCTATTTATGTTGTTGATATGCAAATAGGTGCTTACATACAAAAGATGTACATAACTTTATAATAGTGTTCAGCCAGCAAATCTGCTCAATTCCAGGGGATATCAGTTCTTTACTAACGGTTAACCAATAATCTTCTCAAGTAACACACACACACACACACACACACACACACACGGCCAACCAACAACAGCACTGTGAGATAAACTATCTACCATTTGCAAAAATGTAGTCACAGAGCACGTTCCCAATGATACACGTTTTATGTAGATCAATGCAATCAGTTGAACTGAATCACATGCCTCCTCCAGCAGCTAGGAGGTAACTGACTTCGGTTGCACTCAAAACAAATTGAAAAAAACTTCCAGAAGCTGAGCGGGTTGGAAAGAGAGCCAACCCCTAGCTGCTAGATGAGACATGTCATTCAGTTTATCTGATATACAGCAAAAGCTTCATTGGGAATGTGCCCATGAAACTATCTAATTCAATTGACTTTATAATGCAAGAAGTAGATCTGAATAGTTTCCTTGGGGTCCTTGAAAACAAATTCAAAGTTGCATTCAAGATCATGTGGGCCAAGTAACTTCCCTTACAAGTTAATATGCAGAATTTCATTTCCCAATCGGTAACACTTTGACCTACTTCTTGGTATGAATTGTAAGCAATGGATTTAGCAATGAGCGTATGACCCCATACTCTAAGACATCATCAGTCTATGGCGATGGGGCTTATGATTAATTAACATGGGAATATTTAGTAACACAAATTAGTCTGAATTCATTCAAAGCACTATTGATAGCAAAACTGGTTGGTTTTTTGGCAATGTGTGACTTGAGAAGGTAAGAGGTTGAGAACTACCAGCTGAAAGCCATTTTACAATGACCCATACCTATAAGTAGGTCTTTCTTGTAAAAGCATGACATTTTGTATTCCGATGGAAATTCATCTGTAGTCGTAGAATATGATTCAATCATGACATTTTGTACATACAAAACAGTGTGCCATCTGTTAGTTAACAACCTAATTCCCTAATAAGACCGAGCACCACATTTAAAATGCATCTTGCACTGTGTTTAAACTTTTAACTCCCTGCAGAACTTCCCTCTTGGCTAACCATCACCTTCCTTGATTATCTATAATTATGATCGTGCCCATATTAAAGGGAAAGGTTAGTTGCATTGGTATAGAATTTTGAGACATATTTACAGCAACGTCACATTTTTAAGTTATATTTGTTACATTTTCAAGACTGTACAAAATCTCAAAGTCAATCAGTAATTTGAAATGAAGAACTGCAAAAACATAAACATTGTCAGAAGCTTCATTTATCTCGATTCTTTTCAAGATTTCTCACCTGGGGTAACTTTCGGGGCTACATCAGAAAATGACGACTGGCTACACTGCTGTTTTGTGTTAGGCGTCGTAGGTGACATTGTCATTGGTATACATCTTCTGCGTTTTGGAGTTCTAGGACTGTGTAGAGGATCAAAATCCAGACTTCTTTTCAAAGTAGCACAAGCCATCTTTTGTTGTCCTGACGCTGGAACAACCGACGGCTTTGCTGACCGTAAACGTTTTCTATCAAATTCAAACTTGATAAAAAATATGTTCTATTGTTAGATTGATGCCAAAGGCAACTGAACCACTCCAAAATAAGTTTCCCTAAGATCACAATACTTAGCGATGAAAAAGATTTCAAAGCGTCTCTACTCCGAAAAGAAAATTTCAAGATGGCTACAGACGAAAACAAATTTTAGCCTCTTTCCCGCAGCGACATGCGCACAATTTTATTCGCCTGCTTGAGTTTCCGGTGTGAATGAAGTCCTCCACGCAGTCCTCTGCTTTACAGTGTGAGAAAGGTAAATAACTCTTACTTTCTGTTTCATTACAGTTTTATAGCTTTTATTATAATCACTCTTTTTCCTATGAGGAATTGAAAATTTCTTAGATCTAAAGGTCTTTTGTGGCTTCGTCCGCTGCTGCTGCGCTAGTATTNTAAATAACTCATCCTTACTGACACATGTGGTCAGGCACTGTGAAGTATGATATCTTCGGACAAAGTCTGCCAACTCTTACATAGAAGTCAGTGCGATCCGCCATGTTAACCGATTTGTTTTACCCCAGATGCCGGTTGCTAAGGCGCGTGACGTCAGCCCGACTGTCCCTATTGCACTGCTGCAATGCTTGCTAAGACCAACCTCTCACTCAATTTTGGAGGCTACTGCCTTAGATTTCGTTCTTAGATGCAAGGTATTTAATGAGACAAAAGCGAAAAGGGAAATCACTTTTTATTCAGGAGCAGTGACCGGGTATCTGGTTGTGATCCTCCATTGTGCAGCCTGGTACACGTAGCTTTATTACGTGCCAGTAGCTAAATTTATCCACTACGTTAACAATAAAGTACAATTATTGTACCCAGTTATCAAATTCAGATGTAGAAAGAAAAGTGTAAATCCCGGCTTTTTTTATATACATAGTAGACATAAAGATCCGAAGAAGTGTTCAAGTTGAAATATTTGATAAAATTTTGCATTTATGCTTATATTTCAGAGCATTAGATGTTAAGCTGGAATAAAGACAGGAAGAGCTTTTACGGGATTAAATATTTGTGTACAACAACAATTTGATACAATATTTACAAAAATGTCCAGTAAGAGGAAACAAAGTAAACCAAATAAAACTGATGCCAAGAAACTAAAATGTCTCTCGTGGAACATGCAGGACATGCTAGCTCCAACTGTGGATATTCAGTCAACAGACACTTGTACCAGTGCATCAGAGATTACTTGTAAGGAAACAGATGATACTGCATGCAATCTCAAAAAATCATCACATCTTTCACAGACTACTGTTAACCAAAAACTACAGAAGCACTTAGATGATTGTGATTTTTATTTGACTGTTAGGAATACCTTTAGCTTGAAAGGTACTACTTGGTCATGTCTGCTTGGTTCATTCAAAATTAAACTTACACAAGAGAGCCAATGCCAGATTGAAGATAAACTGCCAAAAAGTGAAGAATTCTGGCTATATGTTAGTGAAATTCCAGGTTGCAGTTTTGTATATTTTGAAACTGAAGATGACCAGCTATCTCAACCAGGCCCATCAAGCTCTGTGCCCAATTCATCTCCGTGTGATAAGAATCAGATATTTTATACTGTATATACAGGGAATCTTACACAGGAATTACTGAAAGGGCTACAGCTCAAATGTTTTCTTTTGGTCTACAACAGTTTCGATCCAGTGACCAGCGAGATAGAAATATGCCTTCACTTGCTTGAGTCTGGATTGAGTAATCAGGCTTTTGCCAGTGAGAAGACAGTCTCTACAAGTGCTTCATCAAGAAAGACCACAGCAATTGAAAAAGTTATAGAATATTTCTATGGAATTAGAACTCAAGGTAAACAAGAAATCCTGATCCATGCATTTGACTTTTAGTAAGTCTGATATACTGCATTTGATATACTGGTGATGAAGATGTATTTCTCATATTTTAACAAATTTATATCTACCATTGTTAAACTTTTATGTTATATGATATATTTCAAGTAAACAGTAATTTTACACAGAAAATATATTGTTTCATTGACCTGCTGGATCTTATGTTTTTTCTACTATTCCATAAGTTATTCATTCATTCATTCATTCATTCATTTCAGATTATTTTGGACATACATTCCAGAAGAAACATGATATTGATGGCTTATTTAGGACAGTTAAGAATTATCACCAGAAGGAGAAAAGACAAGTCAGTTTTGATGTCCAGCATGTTGGTCTTAAACCAGTGTTGCGGGAATATCAAAAAGATGCTGTGCTGTGGATGTTGGAGAAAGAGAGATACAGAAGGGAAAATGATCCAGTTGAGAGTAAATCATTTACTATGTTAATTTCCTTTTTATTTTATTAACTGTATCTTAGGTTTAACTTTTTCTTTGGTTTTAGTACTTTTTTAAAATAATTTATGACTGTGTAGGTGTGTTACATTATCATCTCTGTAAAGCAAAATGTGCTGTTATCTTTTACTTGTCGTTACTTAAAATAATTTTTCAGTTTGTTTTTACAGTACAAATTTTGATTGTTGAAACATGTTTTAATTTATGTCCTTTCAGCCAAATTACATTGCCTGTTTGAAGAACTCCAAACCAGTGATGGGAAATTATTATATTACAACAAATGGGGTGGCTGGTAAGTTTTTATTTATTTATTTATTTATTTGTATATATATATATATATGTACATACAGGAAACATGTAGAAAATAAGTAAAGCTATAGTTCCTACATAGGGAGGATATATATATATCATGGAGAGTTTCAGTGAGAAAGTTCATGAAGTTCATGACTTTTTGTGAAAGGAATGATTTTAGACAATTAGAGTCAAGAATGTAAATCGGTACATGATAATGTTGTTTATGATTAATCACTAAAATAGAGGGAACTAACGTTACCTATATGAATTGCAGGTTTAGCCATATATATTATATATCAACAATCTAAATTACTGCATGTACATGTAGTATGTCCACTTTAGCATATACTATTTTTGGTTCTCACCCCAGTGGGAAAATGTGTTCTGTTTTTGTTCTTGTTACTAAATTTCTAGGTTATATATTATATAAGCAACTCCAATTCTTGTTCTAGCGTTATAAACTGGAGACCTATGTCAGTAGTGTCTCCACCTGGTGGGATATTGGGAGACGAGATGGGATTAGGGAAGACAGTAGAAGTTCTGGCATGTGTCTTGAACCATCCAAGGACAGACCTGCCCCCTCTAACTCCTATGGAACCATCCACTGGTTATGTGAAGGTTTGTGACCCCTGCAAAAATCTTTGCTGCATGTCTGTTCAGTCTTTATTATAAGTTAAAGATTTGCATAAAAACCAAATAATAGTCATATTAGTTTGTCTAAGAAAAATTATGAAGTATTACATAAGCCTGGATTTTCTATTATGATTTTTTAAAATCTGTTTCACTATTAACTTTGAAATGTTTCGTGTTGTTTGACAATGAATATCATTAGTTAGAAATCTGATTCTTGTTTTGATCATGCCTTCAGAAAATTAATGAAGAACAACATCCCGATGCTTGTATTTCTGAAAATACTGAACAATCCAACTGTTCGTTACCCTCGTTGACCGCCTCTGACAGCTTAGTTCCAGAGGTTGAATCCTCAGAGGAAAATCAGGAACTCCAACCTGTCAAATTCCCCATTGTAAATAATAACAAAAGTGAAGGGCCACCAGTACATTTGTCAGAGGATATAGTTACTGTGATGCAGCAAAGTGCAGAAAGTAATGACTCTGAAGGGAGTAAGCAGGATATTTTGAAACTCTGTGAAAGTGATTCACAGAACAGTGCAAACCACTGTAAACGAGATGAACAGTTGTCTGGTGAAGCTGAACTGAAAACAAGTGGTTTGTCTGACGAGATGTGTGCCAGTAACTCCGTGGCATCAGTACACTGTGCAATAACTGAAGGAGAGGCTTCCAAGATGCTGGAGAGTGAGCCTTTCACAGATACCTCTCAGGGAAATTTGATTACACCAGGGCAAAGTGCAATGCAATTAGAAGAACAGAAAAAAAGTCACACAAGAAAGTGTGAAATAATTGTGAATAAAGAGGATGTTCATCAAGCAGAGAGCGTGAGTTCCATCGAAGATCCTTTGTTGGAAGATCTGCATGAAGGTCAAGGTGATGGGACTGAAAGACCTGCTGCTCACAAAAGCCAATTTGTTGAAGAAATGACTGATTCAAATTTTACTGTAGATTCTGATACAGTTTCTGGTGAATCTAAGATGAAGACAAAAAGTAAGAAAGGAAAAAGAAAAACCAGTAGGAAGAGTTGGAAGAAGAACTCAGCCAAGAAGAAAAACTTAACTCAGAGAAAGAAAACTGAGTCGAATGGGAAAGTAGAAAATGACAAAAATCCTGATGGACCTAAAAGAACAAAAAAGTCCCAAAAATATGAAATTCTTGTCCCAGTTGATGAAGCACCAGTGCCATCTAAAGGGTTTACTGACAAGGTTGACCAGAAGGAGTTCTTTGAGTGTGTCTGTGGCACAAAAGATGAGGACTATGATCCCAAGCCCAGAGTCCAGTGTGAAAGATGTGGTCTGTGGCAGCATGCTGAATGCCTGGCATATGACCTCACTGATCCATACCGAGGCGTATATAAATGTCCACATTGCCATGTGGCTTCTGTAAGTGTCTATGCTCTGTGTTGATGATCTGACAGCTTATTATATGTATAGTTAGGTATTGTAAGTTGTCAGATTTTGTAATAGTTCTTGTGTTTAGTAAAAAGCTGGCATTTTTTTAAGATGATAAAGTGGGAGTTAAAACTGTTTGCATTGATGATTTAACATTTTATTTACATCCCATAATTTCATTTTAATTACTCAAAAAATTCTTGTACCATAATGTACCTTGCAACAATTCAGTTAAATTAGGTACTAAATGAAGCTTATTTTGAATGTAATATGTAATAGGGAGACACTTTTAATACAAATCCTCATAAATAAGTACTTGTATTTGATATAACTTAGAGGTGGCTTCCTGTTAGATAAAGTGTTCAAGTTCTTTCATATCTAAGACTGCATTCCCACAGATTCTAGATCGATCTATCCCCGTGGGGAGTCTAACTAGATAACTGTCAACTTAAATGTCTGTCCTGCCTACTAAAAGCCGTAAGGGGGTAATTAACTTCCATGCGCACTCCGCTGACAATAATTTAGCGTGAACCACCAGGGAGTTAGGTCGATCCAGACGGATCGATCTCAATCTGTGGGAATGCAGTCTAATTCATAAGCATGTTGATTTTCCCTACCAGCCTCCAGTCCATTCCTGTGCAACTCTCATCATTGCACCAAATGCTATATGTCACCAGTGGGTAGAAGAGATAAAGAAACATGTCAAACAGGAGGCCATGAAAGTCTTGGTATGTATGTTAAATCTGATAGAGATGTTGTACATGCTATAGTCTATTACAAGTGTATTCAGCTGCCTTTGAGAGATTTTATTTTTGTTGACAGTGCAGAGCAAGATCATTTGTTGTGTTTTTAATATTGTTTATGAGTACAACTTTATCTTACTGTATTAATAGGTTTTGATAAAAGAAAATACTATTGCAAAATTGGTAGATTTATTATTATTGTTATTATTCTGAACAAAATTAACACTCTTCAATGCTTCAGGTATATAAGGGAGTGAGTAAGAAGCAGTACATACAGCCACAGACACTGGCCAGCCAGGATCTTGTCATCACTACATATGAGACTCTTAGATCTGAAGTCAACTATGTGGATTTGCCACATAGCAATAGTAAGTTAATGAATGGGATCCTGCTTGGAAATTTTATCAGTTTTTAAATTATCTTCAATGTAATTTAACTTTATCTTGTAGTGTAAATACTGAACACCTCTTTAAATTTTAGTCAAACCTACATAGTCTTTTGAGTGCTACATGGTTAAAATTAGGTATTAATGTCATATTTAAGTTGACACATTATCAAAAATTATGTCAGGTATTTTGATGCATGTGTCAAAATGGAAACTGCTTATATGTCAATATTTTAAACACCATCCAACAACAGTGCCTCTGTTTTTAAGCTCTTGGAAAAATATGCTTTTTATCAATTAAGTTTATTTCGTTTAGGTGAACTTGGGAGGCGGTTTCGACATCCAAAACGTTTCATGGCAGTTCCCTCCCCTATCATAGCAGTGGAATGGTGGAGGGTAGGTTCGAATTGACTGGCAAGATTCCCTTAATTTTTTAAAGTGTTTGTTTGAAAATATAATAGAATATTATCTTGTATGAAAATATCTTCACTTAACCTCAATTTGATCTTCCTATTTTTATTATTATTTTAGATTTGTTTAGATGAGGCTCAAATGGTGGAATGTGTTACAACAAAGGTAAAACCTAATGTTCTCCTGTTTTTATTAATATCAATGCACATGACCCTGAAAGTTAGTTATGTTGTGAATAGACATCAAATTTACCACAGAGATTGTCAATCCATATGCAGCAATCTAAAATAAGTTTTAAACTAGCCTGCAAACCAATTAGACATTCTTTCGTGTTCTCAAGTATTAAGGAAATCTTTGAACTCGAACTCTCTCTCCCCCCACCCCCCCTTAGCAGGATAAGTGTTAATGACTTTTGCTAGCAAAAAAAAAAATAGAATAGTACAAAAGACACACACACACACGCACATAGTGATTTGGTCAGCGGTCAAACTTAGCCAGATTGTGAACACACCTTTACATTCCACACGTGTGCAATGATTTCTCTTTTTAAATCATATCTAGACAGCTGACATGGCACTGAGGCTGTCTGCCATTAACAGATGGTGTGTGACAGGGACTCCTATTCAGAGGAGCATAAATGGTTAGTATGGCACTAATAGGTAGCTACAGAAACAGAGAAAGCTTATAATACATATGATAATATATATACTCAAAGACAGATATTTTCATTATATTCCTGTGCTCACTAATGCAGTTTTCTTGCACATTTGCTTATTCCATATATAAGACCGATGCTTTATCATTTGTGACCTCCACATTGCTTTCTGATTTTTGTGTTTGATATTGTTACAAAAATCAAACACAAAAATTAGATAGCAGTTTATTTCTGATGGTAATTTCTGTTGTTAGATCTTTATGGCCTCCTACTCTTTCTTGGTGTGGATCCCTACTGGGTACAACACTGGTGGTACAAGTGCCTCTATGAACCATTTTGCTTTGGATTCCCAGAAGCATTGAATAAAACAGTGGCAAATGTTCTGTGGAGGAATGCCAAGCATGACGTCATTGATCAGGTAATTCATATCCTTTAAAGAAGTAGGTCATTTTGAATTTTTGTAGCGCAATGGGGAAAAAGGTTCTAATCAAAACAACCTAAGCAGAATCTCTTAATAGAAGTTTAGGATAATAGGAATGATGCCTGTATTGTTAGATAATTTCAGTAAGTGATATTAGCTATTAAATTAAGTGATTAATATGATGTAAAAGGGTAAATAACTTTGGTGTTTCATTCATACATGTATCTATTGCCAATTATTCTTTTTCAGATCAATCTTCCTCCTCAAACAGAGAAGATGCACTGGTTGACCTTTTCTCCAGTTGAAGAACACTTTTACAGGAGACAGTACTCAGACTGTTACAGTGTAGCTATGAAAGTATGTCCTTTACTGATCTAATGTTTAAAGCTTTTACCAATATTTGATCACTGACACTGCTCAAAACGGTCACTATCATTGTATACAACTGAAAAGTGACACAATCTGGTTCTTGATTAAATACACTTTTTTTTTCCATTTCAGAATCTGGGAAAGTGGTCAGACAGTGATATAAAATTGAATAGCCTGGATAGACACACCATGAGCCAGGTAGGACTGGTTGCAAATCCGTAGACTTAAAGCTAATTGTTTTATTTATTTATTTATTAATTTATTTATTTATTTATTTATTTATTTATTTATTTATTTATTTATTATTCATTTTATTTTTTTTTTGTAGCCAAGCACTATGTCTATTCATTAGAGTCACATAAGATGAAANATTAAATAGCCTGGATAGACACACCATGAGCCAGGTAGGACTGGTTGCAAATCCGTAGACTTAAAGCTAATTGTTTTATTTATTTATTTATTTATTTATTTATTTATTTATTTATTATTATTCATTTTATTTTTTATTTTGTAGCCAAGCACTATGTCTATTCATTAGAGTCACATAAGATGAAAAGGTTGATGTCATCTATTATTAAATTGTTAACCCCCCCCCCCTTTTTTTTTCAAAGATTCATGAATGTTTCTCTGATATTGTTTATCAGAGCTTTGATAGAATTTTTCATGCTTATTTTAGCTGCTATATCCACTGGTAAAGCTCCGCCAGGCATGTTGTCATCCTCAAGCTGTGAGAGGAGAGTTTGTCCCTATTCAGAAAAGGTTAAAGTTTTTTCTTTTACTTTTACCTTGTGTTATATAAAAATAACAGAAGCACATAGTTGATTTTTTTCTCTGAATTAGATTTTTTTTTAATTTAATGTATTGAACCCTTCAGTTTTGATTTAATAGAAAGATTAAAAAGATAATTGAACTGTGAGACATTAAACATATGTTTTAGTGCAATGACCATGGAGGAACTGCTGGAGTCTCTTACAAAGAAGAGTAGAGTGGAGTGTGAGGAAGCACATAGACAAGTGGTTGCAGGTTTAAATGGCCTAGCAGCTGTGTGCATCATTAAGGGAGAGGTAAGTTAATTTTATTCATTGATTTACTTTTTATTGTGAAACACCAGAGATGTATTGTAAAGAGGTAAACTTGTATTATACATCATTTGCTTCATTGTCATTATGTCATCTGTAATTCTTGTCTTTCAGTATGCCGAGGCAGCAGAGAAGTATAGGGAAGTGTTAAGGTCTGTGGGAGAACACAAGGCCGAATTGAGAACCGATGATCTGCAGCAGATCCATGCTCTTCACAACCTACATGAGATATTAATCCAGAACTATCCTGGGATTCCTCCTACACTGCAGGACGACAAGCTCAAGGAGATGGTAGTTATATGATTATTGGGATTAGTGCCTTGTGGTTACTTTTTGTATATATGAAGTATAAGTTTATCAAATGTTTTAATAAAACCAAAGAGATCTGGGATATATGTGCAGTTACTGTGATGAAAAACATTTTAAATTTGGAAAACAGATTTGGCTAAAGGGATATGACTGCTTATTGACAGCATTGGTTTTTTTTAATGTATTTCTTCAACAGGCTGATGAAATGAGGCACAAGTATCTCATGAAGGCAGAGGCTAATGTAAAAGCAGTCCAGGAAGCAGCCCTACCAGTCCAAAGACAGATCAGAGAACTCACAGCAAAGGTAAAACTAATTTCTTATGTCATTTTTCTCGAATGATCATTTTCATGAAGCAGGCAAAGGGAAATTTGCAGACACGTTTTTTCTACAGTCTGAAAATACAGTTGTCTCTGAGCATTAAACGTTGTTCATGAATTGGTAGCATATGATTCCAGTGCTTCACCAATATTTAAACTCTTTTTATCTGATCTCCCAGTTCCGTGGTGGCCAGCACTGGTGGATGGATCTGATACAGTGGGTGGTGGCATCAGACATGGATGATGTACTGATAGAAAGAATCAAAGATGACTTACTGTCCAATCCTAATTCAGACATGACAAGTATTGCATACAGGTCAGTTATGTCAAAAACAAATTTTGATTTCCATCCACCAATTACAAAGGAAGTGTTGATATTTATTTATTTATTTATTTATTTATTTATACTCAGCATTATACTTTGCATTGGTGACATAATGAGGCTCACTTCAGCATCATAAGATTTAACCAAATGCCTAACATATAATGCTATGCAGACTAAATAAAACATCAACACATTTTTTATGAAGTTCAACACATATTGATTTGGTTAAGATTATTCATCTGTTTGGCTACAAGAAAATTTATTGTAGAATGATCCCAGAATAGAATATATTAAAATAGAACCTATGAATAGAATAGACTACAATACAATATATTTAAACTGTTTGTTACCGTATTCTGTTGCTCTGCACAGGTTCCGTGACCTCCGTGGCCTGCAGTTTGTTGTTTATCAACAGTTAGACTCGATGCAAAATGCCAGGGAGGAGCTGTGTACAACACTCAGACAACTCGGCTGTAAACCTTCACTGGATGTCATCAACACCACAGTGGAATGCTGTCTTCGACCAGCAGGGGAGATAAAAAAAGAGTGAGTTTTTTTTTTCTTTTTTCTGAACATGATCATGGTAATTGTTATTTACTGGATATATCAATATGTCATGACTTAAAGAACACATCAGGCTGCTCTGATGTATAGTCTTACTACTTACTGGGACATATGCAGACATCCTATTATTACCTAATAAAGTTTTGAGTCACAAAACTTTAATGTTGTCTTGTTACATTTTATTATTTTAATTCACAGTTGACTTCGGCTATAATGATTGATTATCTTCTGCTATTTTCTTGTTAACCTTGTTGACAGCTGTCCATATTGTAAAGCAGATGAACTTTTTAACAAGTATGAATCTAGACTCTTCTCATTTGTTGATAAGTAAGTATATATTTTAATGTGTTTTAATATTTTATAAGAAACTGTTTTTGCATTAATTAAATTATATAATATGAAATAATTTAACTAAACACATCAAGAGGTCTTACAACCACAGGTTCAAATATTTTCTTTTACTAAAGTGAAAACAAGTTCAAATTCATATATTGGGTAATGAAAAGAGTGTAAATGAATAGATCCATTCAGATTTTTAAAGTGGACAGTTGTTTGATTTAAGTTTATAAAAGAAGTGTTGACATTTTTCCAGAGGAGTATTTGCTGCAGATGAGACTGATGAACTGGGGCATGTTGCTGTGGGGACGAAACGCCATGGCACCTGGGCCGATAGTGAAGTGGAGAAAGTCTTGAAGAACATATTGACTTATGCTAGAAATTTTGGAGGTAAGTAATAGGATAACGATCTGTTCATATTCACCCCTTAAATTTTTCAAAATCATTTGAGATAAGTCTTTCTGTCAGGGTCACATCCTGCAGTATTTGTGATATGAGTTGATAATCTTTTCATCTGAATAGGTCTGAGGGGGTTACTTTATTTTTAAGTTACTACCAAAGGAACAACTTTTTGATGTGGGAAACAAAAGATGCATAGTTCTAATGGATATAAGCATTTTTTCATATTTTCCATGTTTCTAGGTGACTCAGAGCTGATGGAACATGGAAGGCTTCACTTTCAACTGCTGGATGGAATGAAAAAGGAATTCAAGGTTACTATTTCACAAATATGCATTAAGTCTATTATAATTTCTATATGATAAGTTTGTGTTTTTTTTTTTTTTTAATATCGTTCTGCCTTCTTCTGCAGGGGCAATTTTATATAATTAAGATTGTTTCTGTCATCTTTCAGTCAATATTATACATTTATTGTCTATTTATCCTGAACATTTTTTCAGCATCTACGGTCGATTTGGCTTATGTTGAGGGAGCAAATATCTGCTATAGACGAGTTGAATATGGCTACAACAAGAATACGTCTGCGACTCCCAGATGAGCCAAAGGCTGACCCCCCTCTGCTGCATGTTATTGAACCTACAGAGGTGAGGGAATAAATGTTAAATTTACCCTAACAATGTGTTAAAAGGTACTTGTTGCTCATTATTGACATGAAATGCTATGTGAAACTGATTTTGATTACCTTTTCTATACTTTTTTTTTTTGAATCTCAATTCTTTGATTGTCAATATCATCTTATTGCCTCAATCATATTGCTGAATCCAAATGTTGTCATCATTTTGAAAATATAAGTTGTCCTGATTAAAATGATTTTGTCATCTCTTGTCATGAATTTCTGTCCATGATCCAAAAATTTTCCCAATTTTTTTTTCTTTAACTAACAAAATTTAAGTTATAAAGATGTCATTTGTTCAGTCATATGATAATAACCTATGATTTCTCTTTAACCTTGCTGACAAAACCCACTTAATTTTGTTACAAAAACCATTTTTCTTTTATTGCCTTCAGCATTATGTTCTATAAATTTTTGATATGAATATGATGGTTCAGGCTTGTTTCAGGTTTTTTAAAGGATTTGCTTCATACTGTCAGAATGGCCTCAACGGAACATATTCTTCAGAAAACATGCCCAACTAACGATATCTTTATCCAAATACACAAATTAAAAGCTCATTTTGTAAATTTTTGGCTTTAAAAAACGTCCTATTTGCTCGGCCTTGGAGTTAATGAGCTATGTGGTCACGTGGTCTGATGACGACAATCGAGCCACTGGAGAACAGAGCGTGCTTAGCTGTCAAACTGAGCTGCATTGTCTACCTGTAAGATGACTTCTCTGGCTTCTGATAAAAGTTAATACTCATTCAAATCTCTTACCCGAGGGATCTAAATCCTCATGAAGCTGTGTAAAACCATTCCCGTCTAGTCAATTCTTTAACAAGCATTTAATTATGGTTATCCCAAGTTGTATAAAACACTGCAATTGAATGAGTAAAGGGTACTGTGGATTATTGCATATGAGGGCCATGTTATTTGTGAAATTCAATTAATTTTATTAAACCGCTGACACTCCGTCTTGGATACTTTTCTTAAACTGAGGTAAACGATGCCCGTTACCTTTACAAGTCCCATCTTAATCATCCATCTAACTGGAACTTCCTTTACCTCTTAATTAGAGGGTTAAATGGCTGGCGATATTTATCTCAGGTAAAAATCTACCTGTGCTTTAGTTTCAAAGAGCAGCTCCCGCAGACCTGGGGGTACTAGATAAAATCTGAACACCGGGTTTATTGAGGAGCTAGAGAAACAAAGGAAGAATTTTTCCTGCACAGCTTCATAGGAATTTTAGCA